CCATGCAAGTATCCCATTCCAAGCAAGTGCTGCTTAAACAGCACGAAAGAGAAAGAACTTACACACCAGAGCAGACTCCCACAGCCCTTGCTTATACGGGTGGTCCATTACTTAATTCCTGAAAGTTTGGCCTCAGAATAGGTCAGCAGTACTGTCACTCACTGATGAATTAGAGCTCCTGCTATTGTGTGGATGTGAGTCCAGCAGCGCTGAGCACTAACTAGTTTCATTGGCTTCCCCCAGAGTTGTATGTTCTCAGCACTTCTGCTTCTCTCCTATGTTTAGAGTTGGAAGGATGCAAAGGCGGTTTTGTGCAGTATGTGATCCAAACCTGAAGCGCTCTCCACAAAGGGGCAGCACAGGGTCTCAATTAGCACTGAATCTGACCAAACGTACAATAGTTGAACATGAGTTGCAACTTGGCTGAAAGCACAAATGCCCAGGGTTTTTGGGGGTAAGTTTCTGCATGCACGTCACTGTACTCAGATGACCAGATTTGTGCTTCTCTGTCAGAAACAGGCAGATAAACATTTACATTTAAAAACAACCATGACGGATTGTTCATTTTTGTCCAGACTCACAGGGGATGGGTTTCATTACTCTTCCTGTGCTGAAAAGTGGTCATCCCCAACCATAAGCAAAGATAGCCAATGTTAATTCTTGCAGATAAAATAAATCCTCTACAGCCAGACACCAAATTTAATGCAAGCAACCTTTTGGCCCAGTCCTGGAGGGGCCCAGCTCTGAGAAAACCAAGCCTTAGTGGTGGGGGTGTTTTACATAAAGGTCTTTGGAAGAAGTAGTTCCTGGGTAGCGAGCGATGAAGGACTTTTCGCAACCGCTCACAGAGAGTCACAGAGCCTCTTTGTGGTGCTGAAGTGCCTGTACACCAGACCTTGCACAGAAACATAGATAGCAAGTGTCTCTCTCTGATGAGAAAAAGGGGTTTTCTAATTTATTGCTTTTATGGGATTGTTCCTCCACAGAGGCACAAATAGCAGCATATCAATAAAGCCAGTCGTTTGAAGTTGGATATTTCCACCTCTGTCACAGCAAAATAATTAAAAAAGGATTCACAGGATCATAAATTGCATGCCACCAAGGACACAGCCTCCTTAACCCTTTAAATGCCAGGCCATGCCCACATCAGGGCCATGTTACTCAAAGGCAAGAAGACACATTTGTTATCTTCAGCCACAAGGGGTTTTCTGCCTGAAAAGAGATACACTAAGGACCTGTCTACATGGGGAATGTCATATCTGTATGCAGCATGCCTTCAGCCCCACTTCAGTATCCAGTGTGAACACAGATTTGATTTTTTTCATCATGCAGCACGGCTAGGCCATGTGTATGCATATGCTCACATACAAGCACACAGCCATGTCAAAGGCTGTTACACCCATGTCACCCCTCATGGTTTGGGGAAAACACAGTTGAAAGCTGTAGCATGAAGTGAGCATAAAAGTACCTGTCCTCAGTTACTGGGCTGGCCATTACTGGCCCCGTCAACAAAATGGAAAACTACGCCCCACTGTGTGTCAGCCCAGTGTGCTCCAGTCTGTGCGGACATGGCAAGGTGATTTAATAAATGGCTAGAAAAAAAACACTAGGTAAAGGATGTTTTTCAAAATAGTTAACCTTATTTTACTTGACCACTGTTAATGACCATTATTAAACTCTGTAGGTAACATTCTGCTCTCATTTCAATTCTGAGGAGCTTTACTGAAGGGACACATTTTTGGGGGGTGATTTCTTTTGTTGGACCCACTTCATGGTTGGAATAAATTTAGACATGCTCTCAAATGCAAGACATATTCTTCCTCGGGTCTCTTTACTGAAGGGGGTCACTGTGTCAACCACTATTTCCTAGCCCTGAACAGTTATGAGCTATTGGCCCTTCCAGGGGTGGGCAATTATTTTGGGGGGCAGGTAAATATTAATTTGCTAAATTTTTTAGGGGCCCCACGGGCCAGGTAGAATGACCTGGTGGGCCACATCTGGCCTGCGGGCCACATTTTGCCCACCCCTGACTTATCCCCTCTTGTGACATGAATGCTTAAGAAAGTCAAGGCAGAATGGTACCTAACTTGGGCTGTGATAAAATTCCACATTTGTGGGTCAGAAGATAAAAAAAAAAGAATTTGGTGTCAGTTCCCCACCCCAAAAAAGGCCCTTTTCCAAAGGAGCTTCAGATTTGTAGTGCTGAAGTCCCACTGGGAGTTTCACAAGAGACGCAGCTCCACAAACTCCTTCAATAACTCCTGACTTACACTGGCTGGAAAGCCGTGTTAGGACTTTCGCAATCACATGTGGAGTTTAGGAGCAGAAGCCCCGCGGACTCTGCATGGAACTAGCACTCCAGACCCATAAACAGTGATCATTTTAATGTGAACCAGCCCTAAACACTCATCTGTTTTGCCTCAGCTCCATGCCAGTGGAAGTCAGCATGAGGAAGGAGGAATGGCTCAAGAGAGGGCCTTAAGAGGAGCAAGGAAAAAAAAAACTAACCCAGTGTACCTCTCTGGTAGGAGGGACTGGGGGACAGACAATAAACGACAGCAAAATGCCTGGACAGAGGCTAGGAGGTAGGGAGAAAATAACAGCCGGAGGGACAGGGACGGATGCAAAGATCTGTAACAAATTCCAGACACCAATCTGACATTACAACATGAGAAGCAGAAACAAGACATCTAAGGAGCAGCAGTGGCAGTAATAACGACGATGCATTAACAAGAATGAAATGCGTTCACATGAATGCCTGCCCCCCACTAAACCGAGTCCAAAAGAGGGGAAAGTGGCCCCCAGGAAGCGAGTATAGGATAAACAAGCCTCCTCCCGAGGACTGGCCTAGGATGCCAGCAGTATACTGGGGACTTGCTCATGTTTTTAGACACAAGCTGGAATATTCATTTCCTTTTCAGCTTCTAGGGCCCAAGCCTCACCTCTGCTGTCCTACTGACAGCAGTGACTGTTTTGCCCAAATGAAGGTATTCGGGATCTAACCAGCTTGCAGGCCTATTGGGTTGAGAATGTGAAGAGGGCTATAGAAACCCCCAAATGCTATTTTTTAATTCTATTCCTATACAACAGGAATACAAAGGACTGAAACGCACTGTTGCTGGGGTAATCCTTCTGTTCCATAACACAGCTAAACAAGGGAGCCTAAGTGAGTAAGTGGATCTGAATGAAAGGTCCCTATAGGTTTAGCTACAATAACAGTATAGAGGGGACCGAGAGATAAAATACTCTGCCTTGTTAGGAGAGGTGAAAGTGTGAAGTTTGCCACCAGCTCGTAAGTGCAGAGATGCCTGTATGACATCTCTCCTGATGCATCCTAGCAACCTGATGACTGATGCAACTAGAGCTTCTGTGTCATCTTTAATCTATCTAGCTAAGGTATTTATACAGCCCCCATCACCATTGTATCTGAACACCTCACAATCTGTAATAGATTTATCCTTGCAACACCCCTGGGTGGTAGGGAAATTCTGTTATCTCCATGGCACCAGATTAATCAGTTCCTGAGCCCTGTAAGCAACAGCTGAGGAAGGTCTCATGGCCAATGATGGGTAAACAGCCTTATGTTCAGAGAGGTTCAATTCAAACATGTTCCCAAAAGCCTAGATGGTAATCTGAACTAGCCAAAGTCTTAGATCTGAAAACCTGGGCCAGAAATTTCACAAGAACAGGCTTTCTCTTTCTACCTATGCTGGGACACAGAGAAAACTGGGAATTTTGACATGTCTGATTCTGGTCCCAGAGAGAAGCAGCAAGTGAATAAATGAAAAATATTGGGTGAGAGTGATAAGACGGTGGAGAGCTAAACTAGCTTTACTTCCACTTCTGCTCCTAAACAGGTGCTGCTGGATTGCAGCATGAGATGCAACCCAAAGTCCTTTTGCTCCAGCAGGGACCAAGGAGCAATTTTTTCAACCTACTTTGCTGACTGGTATTGATGGCTTAGGACAGTGGGCAGATGATGCATTTAGTGAGGAATCTGGGGATGCTATTTCGCCTGTGAAAAAACTCCTGGCATTTCCCACTAGCAGGGTGTTAAAGCAGAAGTGGGGTGCGCCATGGCATCTACCTTGTGTGGGAGCAAATGGAGTCCAAAGGCCAAACTCTTTGCTGTGGTCTGGAAGACAGTCAGGTATCCCCAGCCAGAGATTGCCTTGATGGAAAGGCATCCTTAGTTGATGGATAATCAGCATATCTCTTGCCACATTTCCTGGAAGTCTGCTGACAAGTGATGCGCCACTGCAATGGCCAGAGTGCTTTTCTCAGTGGCCAGATGGCCACCAGGACCTGCACCGAGCCTACCTGCTTCAGAACAGCCCGGCAATAACTACAGAGAAGTGCCTGCCTCATCATCGTTTCTAGAGTAAGTCACATTAGTCAGTCCTTAGCTGATCTTTACACTGTACTTTACACTGTATAAAATACCAACTGAGCTCTACAAACTGCCTCCTTTTTAAGAGGGCAAGGAGAGATTATGCAAGGGCTTTTTTTTTTTTAATTTCCTGTCTAATCTTCATAGCATGCTACCTACTTCACTAACTACACCCAGGGCATCCACTCAGGACCGAATCAGGCTCCCACCCAAGCCAACTGCAAAAATCCCATCCCCTTAGACACAAGAGTGGGCATTGGAACAGCTTTCAGCCTCATTTTTTAACTGTCTGAACTACAAGCCCAAGTGGAGAGAGAGGCAAGAAAAAGGGGAAATTAATTCCAGGCAATTGAGTGTGTTCCCCGCTCAGTCTCAGTTTGGAGTAGGTACACATAATAATAACTTTTTAATAATAATTTAATTTATAATGTGCCCCCTGCCAAGGCACTTGAGGCAGCACACAAACAATTAAAATATGATTATAATAAATAAACAACAATAATTAAAACATCATAAAACAGACAATATTAGAGCCAAGCCAAATGCTAAAAAGCAAAACAAAGCAGCATCTTTGGTGGAAGGAGAAGCTTGTACAATTCATCTTCCAAATCTCCTGTTGATGTTAGATTGAAATTTTCCCGTGAAGCTGTTTCTGCATCTGCAAAGATTTTGGCAGTGTCACAGTCATTAAAAAAAATGGATTTTACACCACCATAAATTAACTGGAGTTTCGAAGGGCTGTAATAATGCAACATCCGCTTTAATTTGAATACATTCCAGTCTAGAGGAACTCAGTTTATGGTGTCGAGTCTAGGTTTACATGCTCTGAGTTGGGGGGGGAAAAAACCGTATTAATTTTGTTTTTAGTTTGTAAAATGGGCCTCATTATAGAAACCTCAGGTTTCTATAATGAAATCTGAAAGATGAATTTTTAAAAAAAGCAATAATGGGCCAAATTCATCCTGGGTATATGTCCCCTGATGTCACTGGAGCAGCAGCAGAGATTGTCTTGGCTCAGTCTGCACAGTCAAAAAATACGTGGAAAAACAACCCAATCTTTCTCCCTAACTATCGACATTTCAACTCACATCACACCCCTCACAGGCAAAATCCATAGAGCAATGATGGTTCTTACACTGAACTCTAACGGTTAACGGAGCCAAGCGCTGCCAGGGCAAAGGTAAAGCTGAACCCCAGATGAGAGGTCCCTCCTTCTTGGCCACCAGCCCTCAGATGATTAAATCTAGGCTGTGTTCACTTGAGCGCCCCGGTTGATCTGAACTGTAGTGGCAGCACATGGGGGGAAGGGGAGAGGAATCAGTGTCAAACCCAAACCAAATTCCATATTCTCCATATTAGCAAAAACATGTTTGGGGGCTGAAGCCCATGCAGACGACTGAGAGAACATATTTTCTGCTCTGATCTACAAATATCACTCAGGCTTTGCTTTGAATGTCAGGTTCAATGGAAGCTAAAAAAGTCCCAGGCAACTTCAGGTGAAACCACGTGGTGGTCACACACCCATAATTTGGGCCAGGTTCACTCAAAACTAGGTCCAGGATTCCTCAAAGGTCTACGGACATCAGCAGACCTGACCTAAATTTCATATTTGCTATGAAAGCCAAAACCAAGTGACATGCTTGCAGTTTGGGTTGCTGTTGCAACCATTTGGCACAGAACCATTCTTCATATCTGTTTCCATTTTATTCTTTCAGGACTCCCTCATTTAAGAACATATTTGGCCATAACTACGGTACCTACTTCTATCAGAACTCATCCAGGAACGAGGCTGAGCCTTAGCCACAAGCATAATTGTACAGGGTCCTCCCTATGCATCCAAACAGAGGACTATAATCAGAGAGAAGACAGCACTATTTTTGTTGCATATTCAGGATATAAGACAGAAACTCAGAATTTCATCTTTGTATAAAAAGTTCTACCACTCCCTCCAGCGTGACTTCTCACTTTAGGTTTCCCTGCCCAAGAGGATTTCCCAGGGGCACCGAGCACAGCTTTGTAAATTATTTTTCCAACTGTTCCATATGTCTATGCAACATGGCGCTTTTTTAAATCTGGGTTCCTAGACCTGCACTAAGCCCCTCAACTCTGGATAACAATAAATCTATGGAAATATTAAACTTCTCCTCCATAGATGTAACTTCCAAATTCTTGGTCTGTTGAATATATACGGCAAGTTCCATTTTCTTTTCAGGTGCCTTAATAGTAGTGCTTCATGGAGTAATTGGAGAGCCACCATCTCCCACAGGAATCTCTTCTTATTTTTTTTCAGTGGATGAGCTATATTCAGACTCAGGTAAGCTCCTCTTAGCCATCTGCTTGCTTTACCTTATGCCACCTTTGAGATAACCGGGAAATAATCCCACCCCACTGCTCTTCCCACAAGCATCCCTTTGTCTTCTTTCCATCAGCATGTCTCCACATAGGTAGGGGAAGTAATTACCAAATGGAGACGACAATCTTTTGTGGCGAGCAGTTTCTCATCCGCAGTCCTTCCCCGGGAAGAGAAGAAGGGAATTACAACAAGGTGGGTCAGAAGCCTTCCCAGAGAGGGACTTTAACCAGATATCCCGAAGTCATCCTGTTCTCACATAGCGACAAGCCCCTTAGGGCTGCTGTGACAGCAGCATTAGGATGACCCCCTCACAAAAGTTGGGTGAAGGAGCAGGAAGGACAGTAGGTTTGGCTCCAAAACCATGCCATCACCCATACCAAATCCTACAACCTAAAATAAAATAAGGGAGAGGGACCGGTGATTGTGAGGCTGGCTTAGAGACTCAGATCTGTTCTGTTCTCTACCGTGGGCTCCCTGCGTGACAGGTCACTGAGGCACACATCCTCAAAGGAGTTTAGAGATGTAACTCCCATTAAAACAACCTAATACTTTTGGGTGCCTAATTGTAATAGGAGCTAGGAGTCTAAATACCATTGAGGCTGTAGGCCCTAGTTTACAAGTGACCTAACAGTCCTAGGGGAGATTAGTACCTCCCTACCTCCCAGGGTAGTTATGAGGGTAACTATATTGCAGACTGTGAGATGAACCAATATGCCGGTGATGAAGGTTATAAGTACATATACAGAACCTTTCCCCCCAAAACTCTTCACATCCCAAACAGTGCTATCAGCCCAGCACCGGAGAGGCTCCCGATTCTGCCCGCAGCAAAATGGCATCAAACATTCGGAGCAAGAATACAGATAGAGTTAGTAAAGCCTAGCTAAGTGTCAGTTTTGCAAACTCTGGCAAATACATCCGACTCCCCCGACGTAGCACAAGTAAACAGTTAGTTTTGAACAGTGCTTCTAGAATCAGTGTATCCTCTCCAGATCCTGGCCAAATGGTATCACGCCTGGAGAAGTCCATTAGCTAGAGAGGACAGTGTCAGCTATGCTCCTGGACTATTGTCTGGAAATCACAGGCAGAAAGCTTCAGACAGGGGTAGACCAAGACAAGGGAATTCCCTCCAAACCCCAGAGGCAGGCGCCCCATGGTGTCCCCGCCTATCCTCACCTAGGGCATCCCCCCCCCGGGGGTGCAGGGAATGTAAACACTGCCTGTCTGTGCTGGAGTCAATGCTGTTGGCCCTCTGTTGCCAGAGGGAACTGGTGGACTCCCCAATGGCTGGAGACTTTTACAACCTACCTCAACAAAGCACTTGTAATATTGTATGGGGAGTGATCTTGAGTTAGGCGGGGTGTGGCACACGTCTTTTCGACCTCTGCTTTCTACACATCTGTTCCTTCCAGCTTTATCGCCCTGTTCACAGGCCAAATCAAAGAGCATCCCACTGAGCCTACCGACTGCTTTGTTTACTAGTCAGTATTTGCATGCTATTCTCCCTGCCCCGTGCACCATGGACTATGGTATACTTCTAGTTCCCCTCAATGTTGGGACCTTCTGCCTAAAATCCTAGCTTGCAAAAGAATCAAGGGGGGTTATCTTACATCTTATGCGCTTCAAATCCCTGCATAGTCCTCAGGGGGCTAGTAGGAAGAGAGGGAGATACAGCCAAACCTACTGGAAGTGCTGCAAGCATCAGCTTTGCAGATTCGCCCTCAGTACCAGAAATGGTAACATGTATTTTATGACAAATCCTAAAGGGAAATTATGCAAAGTAATAAAATAATGAAGAATTATAAATGAAGAAGAGGAACGGGTGAAAAAGAATAAATTACAGGAAGGAAGAAAGAAAGGTATGAGCAAAGAATTATAGGTAGAAGCAATGGCGTTAACAGGATAATTATTAAGAAGTGACTGGTAGGCCAATGGGACAGGAAGGGACGAGGGAATCCAGGCTGGGGTTGGATCCCAGAGAATTCAGACACACCACTGGATCTGTTCTTGGGGAGCTGCATATTTGTTTAAGAAGTCAGCGAACTCTGTTGCACGTGATTGCAAGTTTCTGATGGCACCTCGCTGAAGGACAGGAAGAAGGCTCTGCTCTCTCTTCTCATGACCAATAGCACCGATTCTAAAACGAGCCTGCTTCTCCCTTTGGCCAAAAATCCAAGCAAGCAGGAGCCCTGGAACAAAAAGGCCAAGGCCCTGAACCCCACATTGACAGCACTTTGTGAGGAATTACTCACTGCATTGCCAGGGGCAGCCTCTTTCTTCCATGCCTAGCCCCATACGTCACCCAGCCAGCCCCCATCCTGGGTCTGGTGCATACCCTGCTCCTAATAAGACTATCTGATCATACCCAGCTGTGCTTTACAAAATGCCTTAAAAGCCATTCCTTCCCCTGCATAAATGCTTTTCATCTGTGCTCCAGGGAAAGCTTAAAAAAAAAAAGAAGCTATGACCACAGAAGAACCATTTCAGTACTGCTAATAAAGTTTTTCCAGTGAGAGCGGGAGAGAGATGGAGATAACAGGGCTGCTCTCTGTTCTGCTTCTGGAGAATCCTTTGGAGAGTTTATTAGCCTCAGGTGCAAGAGTGAGGACGAGGGAAGCCCCTTATTTAGGCCAGGGACCCTCTCTGGGTGCAGCCAATGGCAGGAGAAGCTGGTCCCAGGCCCACGGCCCCAGCTGTCAGTCTGAGCGATGAATTACATGCTATAAGAAGGTGTTGACAGGAGCAGCTGGACATCAGAGAGTGATGAAAAGAGAACAAAATTCATTCCGAGTTCAGACAGACTGGCTCGTTAGGGGCACGGTAAGCAGAGGCCAGAGCAGAAAAACTGCTCCACCTTCTGGACAGCGAAGGGAGAACTTCCTACATACTCTAGAGAGACCTTTCGTTACCATCATCTGACGAGCCCAGCTTCCCAGACCCAGATCCTGGCTGTCACATAGACGAGGAAGATGCAGACCACTTCTAAGAGGCCTGAGAGTTATGGCAGAAATAAGAGAAGGAAAAGACCTTTTGTGTTACCCTTAGCTCTGACCCTTGCACTGGTCAGCGTAGGAGTCTTTTCTACAGTGCATTGCTGTGCTTCGGCCAGCCTAGCCTTAGAGGTCCTGAGTGGTGGAAGAGGATTACATTCTAGATTGCACCAAAAGAAATCCAACGAAGGATTTTTTTTTGTTCCTCTCATTTAATGATGCAGTTTGTATAAATGTACAAAGAGAAATGCAGAAAAATCATTTGGAATCAAAGCAATTACCTCCATTTTAATGTAAACTAAATGACATGCTGAAGTGGGACTCATATCTACTCAAGGTATGTACAGCAAGTGAACATTGAAAGCATACAGCTAATAATTAATTGGCTCAACATTATCCTTGCTCAGTTAAATATAAGAATGTCCCCTTATCTGTAATGTATGGGGAAGTTAGAGGACAAGGAGGTATTGTATGAGATTATTCTTAAAACTGTGAAAACAACAAAGAGATGTTTTAAGCCAAGCTCCTCCTTGGCTTTCAGAGAAGTTGGCAGAGAGAAACAAAATCCTAAGACTTCTCCTTTCTCTCCATCCCCTCCTCTCTCTCCTCCCTTTTCCCTACTTGCACTTCTTTCCACCTCTGAAGGAAAAGAAAAATAAGGCAATTTCAGGGAAAATGTCAGTGAAGTCATTCAAAGAGTTTCTTATGGATTATTTCCTCAAGTCCTGTTCCAATAGCATTTGTCTGAGTATCCCTTGAAATCTGCACCCAAGCCTTTCTGAGTCAAAGCAACTGCTCAGGAGAGGTGAAGGGGTAGGGCTAAGCTGGGCTGCCACAGCAAGGGAATTAGAGGTTTTTGAATAAATTAAGATGGGTTTCACAATTACAGGCTTCCTTCTCATTCCTAACAAAAATACTCTTGAACCCAGGCAGTTGCACCTCTGACTTCACCAAGGATCTGCTGTGCCAGATGTAGCCCTACCCATTCACAGCCACAGGAGAAACATGACTGCCCTCCGACTTGAGCAGGGAACACACACCCAGATACACGTTGGGCCCTGCCTCTGTCATTAGGGGAATATGAATTAGTTTAGTAATGCTGAATCCTAATAAATGATAAAGTCTGTAAATTATATGCTGCCGTGGGATTGCTGCCCACGTTGGACACATTGATGCCAGCACTTGTATCGTGCAGTAAGAGTCAGGACTCTTGGAGTAACAGAACAGCAGTACAGACCTCTCACTGAAGGAAGGAAGAACACCCATGCCCCATCCAACCAGAGAAACAGTATTGACCGCAGAGGGGCAAATTCTCATCTTGCTCTTGCATCTTCCACAGGCAGAACTCTTACTCTTGACTCAGAGTCAAGAATAAGAGCAATGACATAGCCTCTCCAATGAAAAGTAGCAGCCTCCTCCACCTAATTTAAGGACAGTAACACAACATCATTGCTTCTCAGCAACGCACTTCAAGGACAGAACTGTGAACACTGCCCATCTGGCCCCAAGGGTCACAAGTCTGCTTTCAAACTGAGGCAGCAGCATTGTTCCTGTCCCATATAAAGGGAGCAGAAATAATAGATTGCTAAGCAAAGAAATGTAAATGCTTCTCTAACAAACCAGAGCAAAAAATAGTGACACCTTGGTAATGAAAATGATTTAAAGATGCATGATAAGCTCAATTAAAATCAAGGGAGGAAGCAAAAGTGAAATATATAAGTTAGGTCCTATCCAGTTTTAAATTATATCCATGCTAGGGGTGGGCATAATTGCACTGTGATAACAGAGGGCAGAATTTGGCCTATTGTTCCTTAATTAAACTACTGACTCTGACACATGTTTCTTCCCTCTCAGCACCCTCAGTAGAAGTGCTGGCATGTGCATGTGTCTTCAAGCTTCCACAGTTTAAGATTATGTCTCCTACCTTGGAACAAAGTGTGAAAAATACATCCCGGCCAAGTGATTTTATCAGCCCCGTTAATGGTTCTGTAAACCTTTCTTAGTCTCCCATCAAAGTTTTCTGTATTCTGATAACAAGCCCATTTCCCTTAACAATTCCTCATAGCTAATATCCTCCATCTGTCCTTCCTGGTTTTATATCCCATCCATCAACTCAGAATCTAAACATCATATTACTCTAGAGAATTTACTTTCTTTGCTTGAGACACGGTGGGGGATTTTCCCATTGGCTTTCAATAAGAGCTGGTCACATACCTGCTTTCTGTGACTTTGAATAACTCTCCTTAATATTATGCATGTGGAAACATCTCTCTCACCATCTCCTACCTTTCTTCTCCTTCCTTCTTGTCTCTTTTTCCCTCTTCCACCTTTCCTGGCCTTGTCTCTCTTTTCCCCTCTTCCTCCTCTCTCCCACCACCATCAACTTTAGCTCTTTCCTCTTCTCTTCCATCTCACTCCCCCTCCTCTTTCCCACTTCAATATGGCAATCGCCACCATAGCAGATGCCAGCAAGGTGCTTGACAGATGTACCACCCAGTTGATTACTAAAATAAGAGTTCAAAGCTTTGGACACAGCAGTCAAGTCAAAGGAAGAAAAGGTCCACTTACCAGGCACTGCCACGAGGGACGCTGGGGCTTCCAGCAAGGAGACAGAGCTCTTTCCGACACACAGGACATGTTTCTTCTTCAGGAGGCATTCTCCGTTGGACAGCTCCTCCATGGCTCTGGACACAGCGTAACAACTTCTGGAGCTTGGCGAAGGGGGCCGGATCCTCTCTCACGGGTCAGCTCATTACAGGACCTAAAGGAACAGGGCATACAAGAGCCAAGATGGGCAACTTTCTATTTGCATTGGATCGGATGTTCCAAAAACTGAGCTTCCAGCAGAGAAGAATGGATGACCAATGACGGTCACATCCTGCATCAAAGCACGTGTAGACAGAAGTCTCTTGACAGTGATGAGGCTTTAGTACGTCCACAGAGAAAGGTCCATTGGAGCAATGCTGTAGCTTCAGTGATGGGCCAGGGCTTCCTAACCTCTTCACCAAAATGTGGATGCAGCATTAGAGATGAAGAGATGTCTGTCACTGCACCTTTGGGACTCTTACGATCCCCCTTGGGTATCTATCCTATAATGCAATAGCTCACAACAGAGTCTTCTCTAGGAAGACTCTGCAGGAATGGTTTCCCAGTGTCCTATAAGGTATGAACAATTCCCTAGCACTTACTTGACTGGCACATCCACAAATCCCTTCCCTAATAGGTTGTTCAGTGAAAGGTGCAAAAGAAAACCAACCCTGTAGCCCCAGCTTTAGGGTCACTCACCCCTGACGAATGCTCTCCTCTAACCCTGCAACCACTAGAGACTGGCTTAATCCCAGCATACAATGCTTGAGATGGTTGCCAAAAAAATCCTTGGAGGTGTCTGTTTGTTTGAAGTATTTACTCTTATCATTCTGAATACTGCTAGCCCTACAAATGTTGAATCTCCTTTTGAATTCTGCTCTGCTCGGAGTCTCAAAGATATCCTGTGGTACTGCCTTCCACAGGCCAATTGGGCATTATGTGAATATTGTGTTTCCTTTTATCAGCTTTGAATATGCCACTTTTTCAGTTTCGCTCCTCGCTAGGAGTTAGTGGAAAGACAGCTCCCCACGAGGCTGCCTCATTCCCCTTTGAGTCCTACGCAATCCTTGAGCGTTACCGATTCCTCTCTTTTAACTTTCCTGGAGTGATGTTGTTTGCGAGTCACCTTTAGTGCACAAAGAGTAGCCTCCACTTGCAAGAAGATTAAAATCCCATTACTTGTTATTCATGTGTTATTTAATGATATTTTCCCATTATGTATTTATTTATTTTTAAGTTCCTCGCTTTGAATCGCGAGTCTGCGTTTTTAATATTAAGCATAGTTTTTAGTTTGCTTTTCTAATTGGAATGAAATAAAAATAGAATGGAATTTTTAGTGGGTGCTTTTATGTGTATTCAAGGAGAGCAAAAAAAAAAACAAAAACCCAAACCCCCCCCCCCCCCCCCCAAACCAACAGTCATTTGAATTGTACAAGGTAGCAGCAAAAAAGGACATCTTCACCATAAAAGGAACCGATATCAAGACAACCCCACAGCTCAGGAAAAAAAATCCCAGGCTCCAGAGTATCCTTTGAAGAACCCCATGACCTCCTGGGTTATGGCTTGGCACCCAAGGTAATGGCTTAGCATACAAAGCTGTCAATACGTCCTCCCAGGAGCAGCCAGGACATGCCTCCCCAACTCTCCATAGATACTGAAATATTCCACCCCACCAAGAGCAGTAATGCTATACCTTTTCCATGCACCATACCCCAGAGATAGCTATGCTGCTGCTTTGCACTGATTTGGATTCCATATAAAGTAGTGGTATTCTGTTCTCTTCCGAAGGCTTTGCCTCTGGAAGGTCATGCGTTACAAAAGCCAGTCTTCCTCTGTTGGAAGATGCAGCACAGGAAATGTTTGGGAGGATCCAGAGAGCGGTGCACCGCTCCTTTTCTCATCTCTGTGAACTGAATCAAGGAGAGCACTGGGAAAGAATGTGATGATAAGGCGGGTATGTTTTTGTGCCACTAATTTGTTGGTAGTGACCCCCCCCTTCACTTTGGGGGAGGATGGATAATAGCCCTTATGAGTCAGTATTAAATCCTCCCCTAAGAACTGTCATAGGCCAGCCCCTAGTGTGCTTCTTGTTCTTCAGGAGGTACTCCTGCCTTCTGTAGACAAGAGTAAGGAGTCTTCAATGACGCACGAGAAAAATGGTTGTTGGTGGTGAGATATGGGGAGAAATGGGTAGGGGAGCTGGCATACAGAGAAGGAAGAGGGGAAGGAAGAGACGGAATTAGCAGAAGCAGAACACGGACTGTCAAGGTAGGATGAGGAAAATAAAAGCAATGGGATACAGAGCGATTCGGAGAGCAAGGAGACAAAAGAGGATAGAGAAAGAGGGAGGGTTAGAGGAAGGATATGGGCACATGAATAAATTCCTGTGGGGTAAAATAGGTGAGAACTTGCAGAACATATGCTACTCCACAGTAATTTCTCATGTGGATGCTCCTTCTCTACGGGAAATGCAAGGTAGCTCACCCCACTTTCCTTGTGGGGTAAGCACAGTCACCACAGAGAAGCTGATGTGCTGTGAGTTCACATCCTAGTTTATCTCATAGTAACTTCTTCACAGGCCCATACCCAAACTCAGATAGGAGGGCTGGAGGAGAAAGAATGATGTAGCAAAGTTGGACTGAGAAGAGAGGTAAGAAGAAATGTGAGATGGAGAAAAGAATGATCTAAGGGTGGCAATGGGAGAGACGGATGGGGAAGCTGACGGAAAAAGAGGAGAGAAGGCCAAGAGGGATGGAGCAAGAAACAAACGGAGAGACAGGGGAGATTTCTCCAGACATTGGCACAGCACACCCTGAAGCATTGGGATGCATTTAACAGAGGGCTGGAAGAACCTTCATTTATCAGGAATTCAATTAAGTGGAATAGTCATTATTAATTTTATAGGAATTATTTGTACGGGGGAGCCTGGAGTGAGGAATGGCATCCTGGAGCCATTTCTTCTGTCAACGCCCCAGGTCAGGTAGGCACAGGCAGTGCGATCTCACCAGTTGAGATATTAATGAGATGCCTCTAGGTGCAAATGATAGTTTAATAGGTGTTACTTAACGGGAGTGCCCCTCATCCGCACACACCAGCCCGTGCGGCTCCTGAAGAATCTGCCTCCTTGTTAGAATAAGTAATTAGAATGTAGGAACACTCGCTTTGACACTTTAATAAAGTGTCAGCCGTCATAAATTTAGTATTTAATAAAAATAAAATTAAACATTTATTACGTTTTTACAACATTGTATTTAAAATACATATTCCTCAAATTTTCCAGATTTAAGATGAGCTCCCATTATAGGACTGTGCTCCTGGAAGGGGGCCCTACCACTTCTTACTGTTACTGTTGTTTTGCTGAGTGGGGAGGGATGTGAGGAAGTGCAAGAGCCTGACATTAAAAAGGGAGGAGGGAGGTGCAGAGAGATGTCATGGACTGGTATCCTTCTCTGGGGTGGGGACTTCCCTCTCATATCCTCCTATTCTCTTGGACTTTGAGGATGAACCAGGTCATTCCATCTTTCTTGTGCACTATGGGTTATGCCAGGGTGGGCAATCATTTGGGCTGGAGGGCCACGTAAGAAGTTTTGGTGAGACGCTGAGGGCCGGGAAGATGCCAATTGATCTTGTCTGGCCTGCCAGCTGCCACTGAAAGCTTGAGGGCAACACGCCACTCCATTTTGCCATAGCTGGGACTGGGCCAGGCTGCACAACACACAGACTCCTTCATGACCCACACCCCCCCCCCCCTCCACCACCCACCCCACGCCCCCTTCCGCCCCCCCCCCCCCCCCCCCAGCTTCCTGTTGGCACGGTGTAGTCCTGGCACTGTGGCCACTGCCAGCTGAGCCCATATGGGATAGGGCATGATACAATGCATGGAGTAGCCATCCCACCTGCCTGCCCTCCCACTGCAATGAGCTGCTGCTGCCATGGGAAAGGCAAGGGCTGCTGCCATGGGCTAAGCCTCCATACCACCCCCATGGCCAGCATGGACTCACCTCCTAGTGGCGCTATGGTGGCAGCAGTCCATCACAGCTGGCAGGCAAGCGACATGGTTACTTGGCCCACTGTATTATTTCCCATCCCAGGTGGACTCAGCTGCTGGTGTCCACCGTGCCAGGACACCCCCCTGCCAATAGGAAGCCAGGCAGGGGAGTGTCCTGATGTCCATGCCAGGACTGCACAGTGCCAACAGGAAGCTGGGCAGGGGGATGGGAAATGTATGCGGGGGTCAGGGGTAAAGTCTGTGCACTGTGCAGCCCAGCCCAGCCCTGGATCTGGCTGAGTGAAGGAGTGTAGGGCACAGTCCCCCCTCCTCAGGCTCCCAGTGGTGGCCAGCGGGCTGGATAGGATCTACTGGTGAGCCAGATATGGCCCGCAGGCCGTATTTTGCCCACCCCTGGGTTATGCTAATTGTCAGGACAATAACCCCGCAGAAGGCAACATGTACTCTGGCCCATGGGAACTCCCTCAAACTCTAACACCCAGCACCAAACCTGCAACACTGCAGGGCTCCAGTGTTGGCCAGGAGAAAGGTCCTATCACCTTGCTTTGAACCAATTGCTTACTAAGGAGTGGATGAGGTGCTGTGTATGCTCAGTGCCCAGAAGCAGAAAGGAGAGATGGGAAGGATGACAAAGCCCAGGCAGAGTAATGAGGACAGACTGTACGAGGGGACTGTGTGCAAACAGGATGCGCTGTTTGGGGGACACAAGTCACAGAGCGTTCTGGACTGCTGGGGAACAGCCACCCTGGGGAGAGCAATAGGGAATGAGAGCTTTGGGTTGCAATGAGCACAGATGAACTTAGATGGGAGCTATGGGAACCAAAGGCTGGATCCAAAATGCACCAAAGTCCCAGTGAGTCCTTCTGCCGATGGCAGGGGTCCTTGGATCAGGCTGTAAGTGCTTATGGACAATATACATGGATTAGATGGCAGTAGTGCAACACTCAGAGGCACTGGGAGCCTCCTGGTGACCTGCGGCAGTGCTCCGGGCAATGCAGAGCTCAAGCAAAGCAGTTCTTCTGCCCGCACAAAGGAGCCTGAGTAACTGGCAGCAATGTCTGGACCCTGACGGAGCAGCACTGTGACATGACGACCTCACAGCTGCCCCCACCACAGTAGTCGGAGCACGTTCAACAGTGCAAAGGGACAAGTTGGCATCCCAAACCTGCACTCAGCAGAACTGGACACATCTCCCTTGGAAACACCACATCATCTGTGGAGGATCTTCCCTTAGGAGCAAAGAAAGCACACAGGGGAAAGCTCCCTCCATGTGCTCCTTCTGCAGAGTGGGAGCTGCTGTATCTCCTCATTACCGAACCCCCCAGAATGAGATTTTGGAGAGAAAAAGGAAAACGACCCAAGCATCCAAAGGCAGTGTTAAGCCCTCAGGGAGCCAAAATACAGGCACAAACTTTAGTTCATTCTCTCTCCATCCAAGCACTGAGGTTCCTGCGTGGGACGAAAGTGCCCTGATCCCCTGCCTCTTCTGACACCCACCTGCTGGTACGGAGGAAGAGTCCCTGGAGGCAGGACGAGACGTGAACTGACTCGCAGCATGCTCTGAACTAGATCTTTGTGGCCTGGCTGAGTGGCCAGCAGTCCTCTCAGCCCGGCTTCAGCAGAGGTCGACAGCCAAAGTGCTCTGTGCTACGATCAGCTAACTCCAGAGTTCAGCCTTCATGGCACTCCCCCCCGATGCCTGCTCCGCCATTCCCTCTCTGCCCAGCGCAGACAGCTCAGCTGGCCAGGTGAGGAAGGCAGCTTGAAAACCAGTGAAACTTGTGCTCAGACCAGTCGGACCTTCCCCCACGGACCCTGATGTCAGCTGAAACAGGACAGAGACAGCATCAGTCACAGCAAGCAGCCCATCCTCTCCCTTCCTCGTCCCCCTCCAGCTGTTCAAACAAAGAGCAGCAAAATGAGGCCCTGCCTCCCCCAGCTCCCTCTGCTCCATCAAAACCAGAAAGCCCCCCCTGGCAGCAGCTTCCCGAGGCAAGGGGTCACAGAGCCATTCCTGGCTGGGCCCAGCGCAGGCCATACCGGGTGCCAAGCCCCTCAGCCCCCTTGTCCACACACAGCCTGGCTGCTGGGGTGGGTTGTGCAGGGGTCCAGAAAACACCCTACGTGTGTTTTGAAAAACAAAAGGAGGAAAGGAGCAACCGGGAGGAGACATAAGAAGTCCCTCTGGTTTAGGTGCCTTAGCAACACAGGGGAGGGGGCATTCCCTGGATATCAGCTCTGCTAACAAGGGATCCCCATCTTGGAGACTAATGAGGTCAACACTGGAAACCTAGGCAACAATTATTTAAATCTGAGCTTCACTCCACCTGCTTAGGGTTAGGGAAGAGCTCTAGTGACATCTTCCTGCGGAGTTTGCTTGGGGCAAGGGTAAGGGGAGGTGGGGGGAATCTGTCCTGTCTGGGAATCTCAAATCCATCGACGGAGCCAAGCAAGGATGCTAACAGAACCGAGAGTCTGGGGATAGGGATCCCACTGGAATCAGTTTCCACAATAGTTTGCACCCAGATTACTAGTAGCGAAGTGGTAAATAGCACTTTAGTGACACATCAACCCAACCAGAGCCCCGGGTCAGACAGGAACTGCTGGACCAGGTCCGTTGCAGGCTACACCCCATTGCATTCCCCTGCCCGATGCCGGGTCATTAGCTTGGAGTCTCTTTGCAGCAGAAGCTGCCCACGATTCCTTGTTGGCACTGGACCTTTCATTATGATCCCAATCAGTGCCCCGAGTCTGACAGTGGCCAATTCCAGTAAGAAAAAGGTGTGACAAACCCCTTGCAAGACAGTTTTGCAATAATCTACCCGCACTGGAGTCCCACCTTTTAGCGGGTCGGTTTGTGGCCCAAAGTAAGAATGCTCAAATCCATGATATTTTAATTACAGCTAATGGAACAAGAGATGGTCTTATTATCTGTAGAAATGATGAACCATTTGTGAATCCTTAATAGTTCTCTGTTTCAGCAAGATCACGGGGCAACGAGTCCCACAGGTTATTTGTGTGTTATGTAAAAAAGTTCTCTTTCACTGACACTGCTGCTTTTCAAACCGCATCTGAAAAGGAAAAGGTTCTTGAAAAACTGACAAGCTCTCTAGGCTACCGGGACTAGTTTGGCTTTTTGTCTTTAAAGTTGCCCCTTTTCTCCATTTTTTATTTTCTCCTCTGTGGCTGAGGATATACCCCTTCTCACAGTCATTAATGTACAGGTAGAAAATTAACCTCCCCAAAATGCTATGGGTAGCAATGGTGTTGTGTACAGCTTGCAAACAGGAATTCTGACTTACGCGAGTTGGGTAACACATCCATTTGTAACCCGGAAAACCTGTGAGATCACCAAGAGAAGATTGCAGGAGTCTTTTTTTAGTACCAACCTCCTGCTTTTACTTTCAGAAAACTCCTCCTTCCCTTAACAATTACTACTTTTTATGGTACCTGGGATGTTCTGCTTTTGTCACAGAAACCATTTAAGCAGACAAAACATCTCTGACCTAGTGAGTACCCAAATATTTCACAAATCAGGACTCACTCTTCTGGAAACTGGTTTCCAGGAACATCCATGTATGGAACATTTATGTCATAATTTCCACAGCCCCCCCCGGGGTTCTTAGAAAGGCACTGCTGAGTCAGGCTCTGAGCTGGAAAAAGTTTTGAGGAAAGAAAGTTTGCACTAGTCTGAGCTTTGGGATTAAACAGGTGAGCTCTAAGCATGGAGCTAGTTTCCGGGGTAGTGGATGCTGCTGCAACTTGTTTGAAGAAGTTCTGAGCTGAAAGAAGCTGCAGGCAGACCCAAAGGGCATGTTGAAGAGGCAGGGATGCATCCTAGAAAGACCACAGAGACTGTGGGAGCTAAGCTAAGAACCAACAACAGCTGGAGACTGGAAGGATCACTAGCTTGTATTTGGACGTATTGTATAGCAAATACAAGGTGTTTCTTGAATGCAAGAAGCAATCCAGTAGTGGGCATAAGCAGCCACGTGTCTTCCCCAGGGGTTTAAGAAAGGGCATGCTGCAGTTTAGGAGAGTCCCTGGACAGAGTAAAGTTTGGGTGTGATCACCAATGTCTCCAGGGGAACTTTCATCTGCACTACCAGCCTTGAGCTGTGCCCTTGCAAGTGCTGTAGTGGTAGGTTTTGCTTATGTTGCCCATGAGGGGTGAGTTAGGGTCAGCAGGCAGGGCTCAAGGACAGCATCTGGGGTCAGGCTTGGGGACAAGTCCTCACAAGTGGCTGAGAGCAGGAGCGTGGTGCACTTGGAAAGACTGCCACACTGTGTTCGTGTGAGGTCTTACAGCAGCACCAGCTGCTCCTCTGGGAAAATACAGCTCCCTCTCCCTGGTTTCACAACACTTTCCTCTCTTGGACTATTCAGGGTTCTTGTTACATCATGCTTATCTCTCCCTTTTGGGGCAATGGGGTAAACAGGCTTCCCTTGCCCTCCCACCTCTGTCCTTCTCCCTAGGGGGACCTGAA